ATAGTTAACTGGTTGCTCCAAAGATACCAGGTAGTGGGATACAGGTAATCTCTTCTCTAAGGCTAGGCTTCCAATTTGGACCAAAGTCAAGGTGTAGGCAGTGGAGGGCCCATGGACCTGGGAGTGTTCTGAAGAGCTTTTCACCACTAGCTTATTGTTTTGAATACAGTTCAGTAGTGCCTAAGTCCCAGATGACTGTTTATGGGAGATGAGTTGGTGGGTTCCCAGACCAGTTCCTAGTGGACAGACATCTCAATTAGTGAGTCACCACCATGTCCCAACTCTAATTATGTCCCAGTCTCAGCAGATAAGCCAAGGACAAGATGGGCTATGAAGGGCACCACTACATCTCTATCAAAGCTTTTGATACCATCTCCTACAGAATTCTTGCCAGGAAGTTAAATAGAGTATGGATTGGATGAATGGACTATAAGGTGGATAGAAATCTGGTTAGATTGTCGGGCTCGACAGGTAGTGATCAAAGGCTTGATGTCTAGTTGGCAGCCGGTATCAAGCAGAGTGCCCCAGGGGTTGGTCCTGAGGCCAGTTTTGTTCAACATCTTTATTAATGAACTGGATAATGGGATAGATTGCACCTTCAGCAAGTTCGCAGATGTCACTAAACTGGGGGGAAAGGTAGATACGCTGGAGGGTACGGATATGATACAGAGGGACCTAGACAAATTATAGAGGATTGGGCCAAAAGAAATCTGATGAGGTTTAACAAGGACCAGTGCAGAGTCCTGCACTTAGGACGGAAGAATCCCATGCACTGCTGCAGGCTCGGGACCGACCGGCTAAGCAGCGGTTCTACAGAAAATGACCTGGGAATTACAGTGGATGAGAAGCTGGATATGAGTCAGCCGTGTGTCCTTGTTACCAAGAAGGCTAAGGGCATATTGGGCTGCATTAGTAGGAGCATTGCCAGCAGATCGAGGAAAGTGATTAGTCCCCTCTATTCAGCAATGGTGAAACCTCATCTGGAGTATTGCGTACAGTTTTGGTCCCCCCGATACAGAAAAGATGTGGACAAATTGGAGAGCGTCCAGTGGAATGAAAATGATTAGGGAGCTGGGGCCATGACTCATGACTTATGAGGAGAGGCTGAGGGAACTGGGCTTGTTTAGTCTGCAGAAGAGAAGAGAGGTGGGATTTGATAGCAGCCTTCAACTATCTGAAGTGAGGTTCCAAAGAGGATGGAGCTCGGCTCAGTGCTGGCAAATGACAGAACAAGAAGCTATGGTCTCAAGTTGCAGTGGGGGAGATCTAGATATTAGAAACACTATTTCACTAGGAGGGTGGTAAAGCTCTCGAATGGGTTACCTAGGAAGGTGGTGGAATCTCCATCCATAAAGGCTGTTAAGGCTCGGCTTGACAAAGCCCTGGCTGGGATAATTTAGTTGAGGCTGGTCCTGCTTTGAGCAAGGGGTTGGACTAGATGACCTCCTGAGGTCTTTTCCAACCCTAATCTTTTATGATTCTATCACGAGACAGTGCCCCTCTGGTCTGGGGTGCAGCACATTGATAGGGCACCGTGATGGGGCAGCTTCTACAGCCACTGCCTGTACTATACCCATACTTTGGGCTCCTTTGTTAATTAAGAAATGTTTTACATCACTTGATGAGCTCAGCATTTAAACCAACATCTACCAGCCAACTTAGAATAGTGATCCCCATGGGGCAGGCAGTGGTGAGCACGGGGGACTCACAGCAGAATTTCGTAGTCCTCCAGGGAAGCACCATAGCTCCAACTTCCTTACATGCCTCGGCATAGCCAGCAACGGCCTGGCAGACGTTACTCTCCCGCCCACTGAGGATGCAATACCCATACACGCAGTCTACAAAGTATCCATTGGGGTCCACTTTGCTGTGACATCCACTGAAGGGGCCACTCTTGTGGAGGATGATTCCACACTGCCCTCTGCTACCTCGTTGTTGTTTTTCAATAGTCTCTACACTTGCGCATGGTGGTATCGTTACTGCAGAGCATCCCGGGAGGTCGCCCACCTTCCAACTCTGGCCAAAGCTGGTGGGGTTTGGTGCCAGTGTGCCATCCCTCATGAGCATGTCGTCCTCCCTGTCACTGTTGAAGTTGCCACACAGACCACACATGGCTCCCGTGTAGGTCACTGGCATAGTGACCGTAGTGCGTCCTGACCACCCAGCAAAGGTAATAGTGAGGCCAAAGTCTGCCTGGATCACTGTGGCCCAGCCATTTCTATACACAGAGATTTTCTTATCAATGAGGTTCAGGGGAAGATTCATCAGGACATTGTTCACCTGTTAAAGCAAGACACATGGGATATGAAACAGCGCTCGCCTCTGCTGGAACCTCTCACCCCAGCACAGAGCTCTGGTCCATGATTACAATAATAAGCCACCTCTGTTCAAATAATCATCCAGTCCGGCCTGCTTCCTTCCCTACAGCTTGCCTGAATCCCAGCTCTAACCAGACTTGAATTTCCCCTGGCATTAGCTATTGCAGTTCCCTTCTCTCTGTTCTACTTGAGCCCCAGCTCCCCAGGTTCCCACCTCTGCTGGATGCTATTGACACTGTGAGGGAGTGCTCACCCCACACCTGCCCCTGAAAGGGTTAAGGTGGCTAGACTGGCCAATTAACTACCTCAGATGCACCTGGAGGAGGAGCCAGGGAGCAATGAGAACTAATTAAAGGGTGAAGCTCACCTGAACAGGAACAGGTGGGGCTGGTATAAAGCAAGGTAGCTTAGGGCAGAAGGGGGCTGCAGAGAGGAGGTCTGCAGTCACTCTCTGAGGCTAGGGAGAGGTGACGCTTGGCCAGTAGGGAAGGGTGTACCCGGAGAAGGGTGGAGATGGAGACTGACAGAGGCAACATAGGAAGCAATCCAAGGAAACAGAAACAAGGCATGGGACAGGATGGACCTTAGCTGCTGGTTTTAGGGTCCCTGGGCTGGAGCCCAAAGTTGAGGGTGAGCCCACGTTCCCCTACCAGCCACTGGGGATGTGGCACCATAGAGGGGCAGTGAATTGGAAGACTGCCTGGGGCAGTTGGTGACACTTGGTACACAAACCTCCCAGAAAGGAGAAACTACAGTGACCTAGCCAGAGGGCCAAGCCACAAGGAGGGAGCCCTCGAGTCCGGGTAGAGAGAGAATGTCATAGCGTGAGCACTCGCAGGAAGTGGCTTCAGAAAGGCAGAGCTAATTCCAAGCCGCGGCCACAAGGAGTGCCCCATTGGGGGTGAGAGCACACTCTGACAGTGTGGACACTTGTGGATGGGAGGGAAGAGGTAGATGTGGTATATCTTGAATTTAGTAAGGCTTTTGATACGGTCTTGCATGACCTTCTCATAAACAAACTAGGGAAACACAACCTAGATGGAGCTACTATAAGGGGGGTACATAACTGGCAGGAAGACCGTTCCCGAGAATAGTTATCAGTGGATCACAGTCAAGCTGGAAGGGCATATCAAGGGGGATCCTACAAGGATCCATTTGGGGTCTGGTTCTATTCAATATCTCATCACTGATTTAGATAATGGCATAGAGAGGACACTTATAAAGTTTGTGGACAATACCAAGCTGGGAGAGTTTGAAAGTGCTTTGGAGGATAGGATTAAAATTCAAAATGATCTGGACAAACTGGAGAAATGGTTTGAAGTAAATAGGATGAAATTCAATAAGGACAAATTACTCCTGGGGGAATTTTGTGCTCCAAAATTATAATTTCTGCCCCCCAAAATTAAAAATTTTGCACACAATGTTTGAAAATTCTGCAAAATAACACAATATAATCATGCCAGTTTCAATTATTTTGGTAATTTATTTCAAAATATCTGTCAGTAAGTATGTCTGTAACAATACAGACCAAAAAAAATAAAAAAAAAGAATTTGGTAAAGTTATTTTTGACAAATAATTCCTTACTAGGCATATTCATACAAAACTTTGTGTAATTCATTTAAATTACAATACAGAACTGTATTTCCTGCACCTGTCAGAAGCAGGGCAAAGGCTTGGGGAGTCAGGGGTAACGAAGGACCTGAGGGAGAGAGAAGGAGCCTAGGAGTGACCCTGGAGGGTGTTGGGTATGGATGGGAGGTTTCTCTGTGTGGGGGTGGGATTGTTAGGGTGTTGGGAAACCTCCCCCGTGAAGACCCTGGATAACCCCAAGCCTCTGCCATTCAGTCAGGCATGTTTGCCCCTGTCCCCGCACCCCTCATCCCCATGGGTCTCTGCAGCCCTCCTCCCCCATCCCCAGGCTCAACGCTGTCACCCAACTAGCTCCTGAGCCCATGCTCCAGTCTGTCCCCCTACACGTCATTCTGAACCCCAGTCTGTGACACCCCCCGCCCCAGCAGCCCTGTGTGCCCCACTCTGTCCTAAACTGCCTCCACGGGCAAGGTGCTGCTCATGGGGGAATTCTGCATCACTGGGCATAGAATTTAGTATTTTCCCACATAAAATACATTTGTTTTTCTGCCACAGCGGCCTCTGGTGGGCAAAAGGCAGAACTGCAGAACTTCTTATGCAAAATGTTTTTTATGTGGGAAAATACAAAATTATGCGAGAGAGATATTTCCCCAGGAGTAACAAATGCAAAGTACTCCATTTAGGAAACAACAGTCAGTTGCACACATACAAATGGGAAATGACTGCCTAGGAAGGAGTACTGCAGAAAGGGATTTGGGGGTCACAATGGATCACAAGCTAAATATGATTGAACAGTGTAACACTGTGGCAGAAAAAGCAAACATCATTCTGGGATGTATTACCAAGAGTGTTTTAAGCAAGACACAAGAAGTAATTCTTCAGCTCTACTCTGCGCTGATTAGGACTCAGTTGAACACTTCAATCTCCCTGGACATTCTATAACAAGTTTAAAAGTAACTATTCTTGAAACAAAAAAACGTCAGAAACAGACTTCAAAGAGAAACAGCAGAACTAAAATTCATTTGCAAGTTTAACACCATTAATTTGGGCTTGAATAGGAACTGGGAGTGGCTGGCTCATTACAAAAGCCGCTTTGCCTCTCCTAGAATTGACACTTCCTCATCTATTGTTGGGAGTGGACTACATCAACCATGATCGAATTGGCCCTGTCAACACTGGTTCTCCTCTTGTAAGGGTCTCTCTTCTCTTCATGTGTCATTATATAATGCCTGCATCTGTGACTTTTACTCCATGCATCTGAAGAAGTGAGGTTTTTTTACTCACGAAAGCTTATGCCCATATAAATCTGTTAGTCTTTAAGGTGCCACCGGACACCTTGTTGTTCAAATACCTAAAAGGTTGTTACAAGGAGAAGGGTGAAAAACTGTTCTCCTTAACCTCAGAGGATAGGACAAAAAGCAATGAGCTTAAATTGCAGCAAGGGAGGTTTAGGTTGGACGTTAAGAAAAACTTCCTAACTCTCAGGGTTGTTAATCACTTGAATAAATTGCTTAGGGAGGTTGTGGAATTTCCATCATTGGAGATTTTTAAGAGCAGGTTAGACAAACACCTGTCAGGGATGGTCTACATAATACTTAATCCTGCCATGAGTGCCGGGGACTTGACTAGATGACCTCTCGAGGTACTTTCCAGCCCTACGATTCTATGATTCAGACACCTTCTCACATATCCAAAGTGTAACCACATCACCCCAATCCTTAAATATCTCCATTGGCTCCCTGTTTATAGAAGAATGTGGTTACAATTCACCCTATATTTCAAAATCCTTCCATGCACCATCTGAAACTTTTCTGGATCACACAGGTGACTTTCCGCAAAAGTTTTAGAGAGATTAAAGACAATTTGAGAAACTCACCAGGACTTTTCCAGGGAATGGATTGCTGACCCTGAGGTTGGTCTGATACACCTTGATCTGTACAGGAGCGGTATTGTTCTCCTGAAAGTAGACTTCAAAGTCCACCAGTCCCTCTGCCTTCTTGCACAGAGCCGCGAGCTGATAGCGGCAGGTGCCTTGGAAGTCGTATCTCTGTCCATCAAAGGTGGTGTAGTGCAGATTCCTTGTCACAGAGCAGGTGGCATAGCTGGAGGGGTAACAACCCCATACGCCGTTCACTAGCCCGCACCTCTCCGACTGTTTGCACGTGACGGCCACGCATTCGACTTGTTTAGTGGTTGCATTGCATATGCACCGTGTCCCACATGCCTCATCGACCCAGAAGCTCTCGTTGGGGGCATAGGGGCGCCCCTCAAATAGGCACCCACAGCTGCTCTTGGGTATGCATTTGCCATGGCTCAGCACAAAACCATTCTTACACTGGCAGCTTTCCACACAGGGGTCTTGGCAGCTGCTGGGGGCTGACTGGTCCACACACGTGGCTGGGCAGGCTGTTCCACAGAGCTGGTACTGGCTGTTCTCCAGAGGGCACTCCATGGCTGGGGAGTGAAGGACCCACAGATTTAGCAGCAAGTTCTCTCCAAGCAAAAACAGTGTTTAAAATAGGCAGAGGGGGATGTATCTTGTGGGGCTCTGAGAGCCCTCGAATCCCAGTGACCTGAGCAGGAGGTGAGGGTGCTCAGCACACTGCAGGAAATAATTAGCACCTTACAGGATCAAGTCCATTATAGGAAGAGTAACTTAAAAACTGGCGTCATTTTACCCCAACCATCCATGAGTTATCAGTGGGCGTTAGATTCTCAAAGTGACAGGCACCTTAGTAATACCACTGACAGACAAACACTGTGGGTACAATAGAATCTAGGAGTCCTTATTTCCCAATCACTGGTCAGTCCCAAGCCACTCGATCATGCCCCCTCCCAAAACCAGGGCTAAAACTCAAGAGTGCTGAGTTTCCCAGGGTCCCCGGTCTAACCAGCAGACCGTAGACCTTGGCATACAAATCTGTACTCACGGCATCTGGCCAGCTGCCTCCATTCCCCAATCCTGACCCCCTCCAGCTGGCAGGTGTCCGCGTAGGTCTTCAGGGCCTCACACAGGGCCATCCTGTAGCCGTTGTTCTGGCATAGATCGTACACGCAGTTGTCCAAGTAGACTGTAGGATCCACCTTGGTGTGGCACTGGCTGAAGGGCCCATCTGAGACCTTGGTTATAAGGCCGCACGAGGCCTCCTCCTTGTACTTTCTGGTGATGCTGGCGGCACAGGGCCTGACAACCTCCAATGCAATCGTGCCAGCAAAACTGATCCTCATCTTCCACCGCCCAGCTTTTCCCCAGGGCGGTGACACTGGGAGCCAGGTCCCCGTCCGGGGTCCGGAAGTCATCGGAAGGGTCCCCGTTACAGTTGCCGCACAGGCCGCACAGGCTCTCAGAGAAGTCATTAGGGACGGTGAGTCTCAGGAGGTTGTTCCAGTCATAGGACACTCTGAGGTTGAAGTCGGTGCGGAGGACGAGGGAGGTGCCGCTCTGATAGAGTCGAAGGGCCCCGTTGTTCAGGGAGATGGGTAAGTGGGCCCTGGTGTTATTCACCTTCATGGTGAGAAAGAAAGGGGAAAGGTCACAACTGAGTGCAACAGTCTGCCATTTGCAAAGTGGCCCCTACTCAGATTAGCAAGGGGTGCAACCTGGACCCAAATCTCTCAGTGAATCTGGACCCAAATCTG